GCGGGGTCAGCGTGGCGCTGCTGAAAGCCGACTTGTACAGGAAGCAACAACAAGCACACAAACTTCTGGTGCCGGGAGTCGAACTCGGGACCTTGCCCTCGCCAGGCAGGCGCTTGGGCCGCGGGGCCACTCCCCAGGCCTGGAAACTGCATTTTTTAAGAGAAAGGCGGATCACCTTCCGGAGCCCACAAGCCCGCGGTGGCGTGGACCCGCGTGGACGTGGCCTCGTCCTGCCACGCGAGCAAGCCACGGTTCCGACTCGGGTGAGAGCCGGCCTGCGCGCAGACGCGCAGGGGAGCTGCCTGGGTTGGCTCTGCCCGTGCAGTCGGACCACGATTGTGCCTGGCACTCGATAAGGAAGTGGCAGAGGCAGGGCGGGCCCGCGTGCGAGTGGGAGGCTTCTCTCCGCTGCTGCCTTCTCAGCCTTCCTGAAATGCCGGCTGTCAGCCGTCGCCCACACGGGCCACAGATCTCGGGCAGGGCCACGCCGTACCTTGTCCTCTCAGCTCGTGGTCCGCCCAGCGCAACCTGATGGGCAAGCGCCCCGCAGCACTAGCGTCTGGCCAGCGGCCGGCGGGAGGCTGAGGCAGGAGTGCCTCTGTGGGACCCGCCTCCAGGCTAGAGGATCCAGCGCTGCCAAGAAACGAGAGCAACAACGTACATGCGCTACTACACGTGGGCCTCTGGATTTGGGGTCCTGCGGCAGGCGAGAGCCGGGGGCGTGGCGGCCTGCGGAGAGATGCCACTAAACCCGGGGAGCCCCGGGGCGGGCCGCAGATGCGGGTGGGGGGACCCCAGGCGGCAGCTCCTGCGGGTGGCCTCGGGTGACCCCAGCCGGCTTCTGCGTGTGGGCTGTGGGGCAGGGAGGCCGGGCAGAGGCGGGCGGGACGTGCCCTGCCGGGCAGCTTCTTAAAAGAGGAAAAACAGGAAATTACAGAGAGGCAGGCGCGCGTGCTCACCCAGCGTGACTCCTCACAGCTGCGCCTTAGGAGCGGCCCGGCTGGCCATCTGCGGGCGAATGGAGACAGAAGGTGGGGGCCTATACACCGTGGAGTACTACACAGCCATGAAGAAGGACAACGTTGAGCCTTGAGTAGAAAAATGCATGCACCTGCAGAGCATAAGGTTTAAGGGAAATAAATCACACACACACACACACACACACACACACACACACACAAGCTTCATGGTCTTTTTTTTTTTTAACTTTTTGAAGATAATAGAAAAAAGTAGAAATGATCTAGAACTTCGCTAAACAAAATGATCGGCAGTAACGAATGGTTGCTGTGGTTTAGGACGTGACATTGAGAAGAGCATTCCGAGCAGGCGCAGGGAGGTGTGCCGGCCTCCCGAAGCCCGAAAGGAAATGCAGCTTGGCGTTTGGCGAGCGTGCTCCCGATCCTGGGAAGTGTTTCTCTCAATTCTCCGTTCCCTGGCGGCCAGTGTGCTCGGTTTTCCCGTCTGCGGGCTGCTCTGGAAAAGGACTTGGCTGTGGTACTGCGTGTTCATAGCGTGCAGTCACTTGTCAAGGTGCGTGCATAGGGAGGTGCGGCCGGAGGGAAGAAGCGTGAGAGAGACACAAGCAGGTGGCACGTCAGATTGGTCCTCGCGTGGGGTGTGGGGAAGACGCAGCCCCGGAGGGCTCCTGCGTCTCGGGGTGTGGGCGCCCGGCCGAGTGTTGAAAC